ATATATATATATATATATATGTGTGTGTGTGTGAATTCTATATATATTTTATAAATGTGCGGTGCTTATTGGAAAGCACTCAATATCAATGATAGAACTAACATATTTAGTTGAATGTATATGAGTTTGTAATCCTAGGTTTCACTCTTATGCAATCCTCAGACAAACCAGTGTGAACTCCATGGTCACAAACTCATATCCATTCAAATATATATATATATATATAAACAGGGTGTTTCAGAATAATGAAAATTACATTTATTGAAAGGTAAAAGTATAACATTTTAGGATCTGCAACTATTTGGTCTCAAACATGAACCCAAAATGCCAAGAGAGGCCCTAGATTCTATGCCCCGGATGTCTTCCGTTCAGCTCATGGCATTGTTGAATGCAACGTTGTTGATAACGCATCCACATTCCTCCTGGGTGATCGCTTGAATTTTCTTACTGACGATATTCAGTCCCCCCCACGAGGGTGTCATGTGGCACAAGGCCTTTTTAACGTGGGCACTCCGAGCCCGTGGGCACTCCGAGCCCGTGGGCTCGGCCAAAAATATGCCCATTGAACCCGTATAAACGGGTTCAGGGCCGGTAGTGATTTTCTAAGCGCTGCTTAGATGTGGCACAAGGCCGGAAGTACGGAGCACCCAGTGAGGATCGAACTCACTACTCAGTCGTAATATGTCCTAGCGAGACAAGCTTGATAACCATTACACCACGCAGAGATGCCCTAGTTATTTTCCAAGCATAGCTTAGATGTGGCACAAAGCCGAAAGTATGGGGCATCCAGTGAGGATCGAACTCACTTTTCAGTTATAAGTGATTTAGCGAGACAAGCTTGCTAACCATTACACCATGCCGAGGTGCCCAAATCGTCTTAGTGACTGCAACCTTCAATGCAACCATGGTGCAAGGGTTGCATTGGTAGGCGTTATCCTTGAGAAACCCCCAGAGGACGAAATCCGGGAGATTCAGGTCAGGCGACTTCAGCTTTGTGGCTGATTAGACGCTCCCCATATTCTTCAAGGAGCCATGCCACCTTAACATTAGCAGTGTGAGAAGGAGCACCATCTTGCTGGAATCACTGTTCCTCTCAATCAGGGTCCTCACGCTGCTGCAGCTCTCCTCATAAGAGAGGCCTCTACTTTGTTTCAACAATTGTGAAACACCCTTTATATACACATATATATATATATATATATATATATATATATATATATATATATATATATATATAATATGATAATAAAAATTGAAAATTTTGGAACATTATAAACAGGGCTAGAACATGTAAAACTTGGGATGACCCATGCCCTTTGTGCCTACATGAGAAATTGCACATTATTAAGCTTCTAAATAATAATATTCTATTAAACAATAGACATGAGTTACCGGTTTTTTGTCGACATCATCAGATTTATGGTTTGAATAATTAGCTAAAAACAAGCATACAATATAATATCTTGATTAATCCATAGCCCAATCATCAGATTCATAGTCTGAATAATTAGCTAAGAACAAGCATACAATATTATAACTTTCATAATCCATAGCCCAAATAAATAGTTTAAATACCCTACAAAAAATATAACCCTTTATGAAGTCGTCAAAAAACAAACGTTACGGCAGTTTTTTATATGCACAAATCCCTTTCATAAAAAAATAAAATAAAAAATATATAAATCTCCATAGACACGCATACCAGACTAGGTTTAATACATCTTCCGTTTCAAATTTAGACACCCCCACCTTTCCCTGACTTGACATCTATGAAAGTAACTCTATATTGATACTTATTATTAACACCCAACACACGCCTACCCAATTTAAACAATTCGCCCTAACTGTTACCATGGAAATTTTGATTTCAATTATTAAAACACGTAAATTTCAGAAATACGTTATTCCAAAAAAATTTCGCTTGAAGATGGAACAGAGCTTACTTTAACTCAATTTAATTCAAATAATTATATCGAAGTTTTTCGGCTCTTGTTTTGAAACATGAGACCTCTTATGTCGCGAGTTGGAATCATATTTTAAATAAATATTATATATATATATATATATATATATATATATATATATATATATATATATATAATATTTATTTCGCCTACCGATCTATGATAAAAATTACCTATTAAGTTTTCTTAAGTATGCAGTCCGGTAAAATAATTAAATACCGTTCAAAATAAATGGGGCGTCTACTCAAATACGAGTATCAGCTAAAAATAACGTTTGAAGAAATTATATCACTACTTTCACGGAAAGTGCGCAGACGAACTACTTTCCTTGGTTGCGCTAGTTCTAACCTTCACGGCTAGGACTTTCCATGCCACTTACATAATATCAAACCACCCATATTCCCTCTGTATTCCTTCAGTGAAAATTAAATTCTATCCAATCAACTTCTTCCCGCGAACCACTGCTCTATGTAATCGGCTCCCAAGAGAATGTTTTCTGCAATCTTAACCTGTTCAAGTCCAGGTTTGACCATTATCTTCTCCGACTATCCGTACATACGACCTCTTAACGTAACCCTTTGCCTCGAGTGATCGCCCCTCCTAGCTTTTACAATATATATATATTACACCGAAAACATGTCAAAATCGCTACACAGTTGCAGTCGTGTTGCGATAGGTATCAATGCATCTCATCAGGCGATTGTAAATTGTAAATTACTAGCGATTGAACGATTTATTTAGATTTAAAAGCAAAATACAACTTCTTTTTATGAAAAAAGAAAAAGGGGTTGAGCTTTACTCTGATCAACCAATCAAATATGAGCCATGTTAAATTTAAACTAATCAAAGAAACAAAAATTAAAAATTACTTTTTATAAATAGGTCATGACCCATAGATTGGCAGCTAACGGCAACCAGACATAAACTAAAGCGGATGCAAATGCTGACATAAATTATACAAACTAGAAATTGCTATTTCCTATTAAATAAAAATTAAGTGGAAAGGTAATTTAACGAAATACAAGTTATATGCTTTGTGATTTTCCTTCATGAATTCTTTTAGCGTTGAGAAATATATAGCTTCTTTAAGAAACTAGTAAATAATTTAAACGTATAGAATTATTTGGTAAATTAATGTGCAATTGTTGAATAAAGATTCTTCATATAAGATGTTAATGACACTAACCAATTAATGCAAAATATCAAAAATACTAACCAAATACTAATACATACGTATAAAATGTTACTAATACTACTGGAAGATTAATACAAAATTATATTAAATCCAAATTAATCGTACAAGTAAAAAGATAAGCCATAGTGCAACTAAAATATAAGAAAAAGCATAATCAAATTCCAAAATTTAACTAAATTTTAAGGTAAAAGTTAAACTATGTTTACAATTTACTGTTAATTCATTTCTTTGATTTAATAAGGAATTTTTATTGAGTCTAATTATTTCCAATTTTTTATGTTTGCACAGAAAATAGGGTTCATATGAAGATCTACATTTCCTTGTCGGTTTTAACATCTTCTATTTCACCTTAGGAGTCATATAATTATCTTTTAAACTCCAAACATATTTAGAAAGTGATGTATTATTTCTGTAAGTACTATTGGTGAAGGACAAGATATGTTGATACCATTAGTCTTGAAAGAATTCTTAGTACGACCAATATAGAATTTTTCAACCGTCGGATTCTCCATTGTAGATATAGTACAAAGATAAACAAGTGGTTTAGTTAAACATTTGTTCGACAATGGGCAATGATCAGAATTCCTACAATTACATTGGCCAGTATCATTAATAATATTTTTCTTGGAACGTGTATTATGATCCAGATTATTAAATCGGTTTAGAATTTTATTATTGTGTAACTTTATAATCTTCTCAAGATTGTTGATGCAGCTAAGAGAGAAAGTGAAAGAGCGATAACCAGACACAAAGCGGGAACTGATGGAAACGGAAGAAAGTTATAAAAAGAGAGACGATGTGCTAAACTTGAAGTGAAAGTTATCGATTAAAAGAGAGTATATTATATTCATTTTTTTTATGAGGAGCCAGAGTAAAAGAAAGAGAAGACGCAGGGCAAAATATAGGCGCATTCTTTATTTCTTTTTCGCATTCCAAATTAATCCTTTCAGCTGCCTTCACACGAGAAACTTCCACAGAACAAAGAATGCGGAATTTGTTTCCTCACAGATGAAGAGGAGACTTGAGCCAACAGAGAATTGGTTACATCTGAGTAACGAAGATGTCTTAAGGAAAATAAGCACAAAACGGCCCATTATGCAGGGTGTCCATAAAGTTCGTGTGCACTTTAAAAAATCTATAACTTTATTTGTATTTTCGATACAAATAATTTGTAAAAAGGATTAGAAAGAACTAACTCTATACTCTTTAAAGTTTTATTGAAATTTCATTTAAGTATCCACATGTTCTCCATCATTAGCAATACAAAGGGTAATATGATTTTGCAGTTCACGGAAAACATTTGCCAACTGATTTACAGTAATGCCTGAAATGACACTAGTTATTTTAGCTATACTTAAAACGAGGTACATTAAACTTTATAACATTTTTTACAGATTATTTCTATCGCAAATACAAATAAAGTTATAATTTTTTTAAAGTGCACACGAACTTTATGGACACACTGTATTTAAAATCAGAAGGAGATGACTGAAATCTCTCGAAACCATGACGAAAGGGAACTAGAAGTATTTGACACTCACATGATATTGAAGGCAAGTTGGATGGTTGGTCGTTTTCGTTCAGCGGCATATCGACAATTTGAAGGTTATTTAATACCGAAATCTAAATATTTTGTAGACAACTTTATTTTATTTTTGGAAATAATAAAGGTTTTGGTGGCACAAGTCTTACTAATTAACCCATAGCTGAGGGAGAAGAGGTGGATACATACCTTTCCCAAGTGTATTTGTGCCTAGGTAAATATAAAAAAAACCCAACTGGAGTTGGAACTCGAAACATTAGAAAAATTCCCAGCCATTAGACCACGTGCACATCCAAACTTACAGCACCTGGTATTCTCAAGCGGTCACCCATCTGGGTACTGACTCAGCTCGACACTGCTTAAATTCGGTGATCTTACCGGTTTTTCAACGTGATGTGGTCGTATGCCGAAGGCGAGTTGGACAGCGAGAAACATCTAACGATCTAACGAAATTGTGTAAATACATTACATGGATTTGGTGGGATGGTAAAGTGGAAGGCATTGCTTATAGCTACAAGGATGGGAAGTTGTGGAGAGCCATGGTCGTTCAAGACCTGAAGAGACCCGTCACATGTATTTATATGTATATTTAAGAAGGTTCGCATACGACCATGAATCGACTAAGTAAAATAACTATCTGTTTAATTCAGTCCAGAACTTGGAAAATACAGAAAGACAGGCAAATTAATAAAATCTTGACAGACACGTGCTAAATCTAATTAAATAAACGGTAAATTCTGTCTGTCTGTTTGTCTGAAAGCCCTTCTAACTCAGGCCACACTTGCTCCACATAGACATATTATTATCTTTTTCGAATCTGCCCTTCATCTGATGCTTGAACATCCAGCATTGGGATTTGAGTTCGGATGAGGAGGGAAGAGTTAAATATTCAAATTTTAAAATAACTGAAAAAAAACTGGTGATTTTAAAATTTTTTTAATTTATATTGAATTTAAAGTAACAAAATTATTTTAAATTCAGTTTAAAGTATCTTCCAAATTTTGTGAATTGAGGAAATCAATTTCATTCTTTTCAAAATGCCAAATAATCAAAGTTAAAGTGAAACGTTTTGTGAGGTGAAGTTCTGAAGTTCCACGGAGTTTGTGATTTGAAGAACGCAGTTTTCGGCCTGAATTGAAATTTCGGCCAAAATAATTCTTTTGGTCGGAATTGGACTTGCAGAATTAAAGTGAGATTTCGAATTTCCATGAAGTGAATTGAGGAATTCAAAGTCATTTGTTTTCTAAACTGGACCAAATATCCCTTTAGTTTCGGCGCGGAGGCCCTGTAAGCCCTCCGCGGGAGCTAGCGTAAAATTCTGCGCGGTGTTCGCCTTTTAAGCTAGTAATTAATAAATTAAAATGCTTGATTAAAGATACAATTAAATATTCGTTTATATTCGTTCATATGCGTTCAGGAATTCGGCATCGTTAAATGGAATCGATAAAATTCTCAATAACAATAAGAAGAGGAAGAAGAACAGGACAAAGTAATACGAAGCATGACTATGTAGTGTAAAAGGAAAAGCAAATCAACTATATGACAGTAACAACGTAAAAAGTTCGCAAAATAGAAATAGCGTTCACACGCAAAAGGGATAGATTCAAATAATTATAGCTTTTTGACTTTAAGGCAAGAAGAAAGCAAGTAAGACCAAGAATTCTCTATTTTTATTGGCTAGGAAAAAATCCCAGCATGCATCTGTAGGATTTGTCTAGAAATTTAGTGGGGGATTTTTAGCAGCCGTTTCGCGAAATTTAAATCAACAGTATTATTATAACATTTTCATTTTAGTCATAACACTATTGTTGTGGTAGGATCCACCTAATTTGCATAGTGGAGTACCGACCATATAAATATGGTTGGTACCGGGAAGAGAGGAAGGAATCAAGAGATTCAACCAGAGACTCTGCCCGACTGAGACTTAGTCAACACATTCTCCAGGGACGGTCTTCCCAGGAATATACAAAAGACTATATGCAAATATTGTGTACACTTTCTTGTTTCAATACATTTTGTTCGAAGTACATTTTGTGTTGCATTATTATTCCATGCATTAGTCAAGTTTCAACAACTATGTAACAAAATTTTGACCTTTTTTGTCTTCAATTAGTAAGTGTTATTTCCTAATATCGTTTGTCTAGAAAGCATAGGAAATAATCATTAATCCCTTTCAACTTTGCTTTTCTAGTGTGAACATCGATGTTTTGAAACTAACCTATTTTCCATAACATTCCAGATATATTCAGCGCTTAGTTTCTGAGGGAGAATCTGCTATAATTTTCTAAAATTTTCAAGAATTTCTAGAACGTTCTGGCAAAATAGATGGCAGTATAAATACAGAGAACATAAACTCAACAGTCCAGTTTACTTCTAGCTATCCAAGTGCAGACAAGTCGTTGGTGATAGATGCATTTGTCACTGATGGCATCAAGAGGTTGTAAGTACCCAGCAGACGCATTTTACTATGTCTATAAATCCTACTTTTGAATTATATGTCATTTTGTTCCTACTTTGTGAGAACGAGACTGTTCACATTCGCTAGTTTTTCCAATGGGAATATGTAAATTTCAGAAATATTATTATCTTGGCCACAAAAGCAAAATTGAAGGAAATATTACCCATTTTCCATACTCTCTAAGCGTAAGCAACTAGAAAATAGCAGTTGCTACTCAAGGACAGAAGTCGTGTTACACAGATATAGAAATAAAGTGTATTTTGCGTCACATGTATTGGCGTCTTTCAGAGCTAAGTCGTTATTATGCTGAGCAAAAAGGGACGACCAAACTTGATAGCAGACACGGAAAGAAAACTACAAAACTCCTACAGAATGTAGCAAAGGAAAGCGAGAAGAAAGGACTAAATATAAACTACAAAATGACAGAATATATGTTTGTCAGTAAAAGGATAAGTCCAAAATTCAAATTACAAATCGGGAATACCAAAAGTACAAAAATTTAAATATCTGGGAAGTGTTCTAACACAGAACGGAAATTGTGACACTGAGATCCGAAGACACATTGGCATGTCTAAAGATGCATTCCAAAAACTAAGCAGAGTATTAAGAGACAAAAAGTTTCATTAGAAACAAAGAAAAGGGTACTGAACTGTTCCGTGATATCTGTCCTCCAGCATGACGGCAAATGCTGGAAAATCTCCTCAAAGATCAAGAAGAGACTTGAAGCAACAGAAATGTTTTCATACATAAGTATGCTGTGGATATCATGTACCGAATATGTGAGTAACGACGAGGTTTTAGAAAAATGGAAACAAAAATGAAACTTATACAGGAAAAGGCAGTTGAAATTTCTGTGGTACGTAATGAGGAAGGAGGGCTTGGAAATTCTGATACTCAGAGGACAGATTGAGAGACAAAGAGACTGAGGAGAGTAGAGCGTAAAAGACTTGATAAGCTTGACTAAATGGATAGTTGAGCAGGGTTTGGGAAAAATAACAAAAAGATGAAAGTTATTAAGAGCTATAAGGGGTAGAAAGATATGGAGGACCATGAACACTTATGTAATGAAAGAGCACGGCATATAAAAGAAAAAGAAAAAAAGGTTTCTGATATTTCTGTCAGGTGAAATCCATTGGCTCATATGACAATAAAAACTCATTGGAGAACCCATGAGGTTTGTCAAAAGTGATCGAATCATATTTCCCGGTTTAATGCTCATGAGTTTTCTCACTTCGTCTTCCCAAGTGACGTTCGTGAGTGTTTAAAGTTTGATATTCTGATCTCCGAAACGAATTTTACGAAACCATTGAATTATCTGCTATTTATAAAGTTCTTTTTTAAAAGATCAAAATAGATGCTTCAGTGTGTTACAGCTTTATGTTTTCCCCATATAGACGCCGATGTCCGCTTCTTTTCGCAAACACAACAATTTCATCGATGAAAAATGACGTCAGTAATGAAGAGATCATTTACAAATTAGATTACAATAACTACTGGCTTTGAACAAAAGTTCGTAGCGTGTTTAAGTAGGTGGCATTTGAACACTGTATTTCGTTTCGCTCTTGACTGACATTTTGATATATATATATATATATATATATATATATATATATATATATATATATATATATATATACAATGTGCTGAAAGGTGACAGTTAACTGCGTTTTTAATACGATTCGTGAGTGAATAGTCAAATTTAAATGTTTTTACTTTAAAAGTGTAAATGAAACAAAATGAGATGCCTTTTTATTTGATGATGTTTTATTTCTGGTAAGGAAAAAACGCTGTTAAAGCAGCAAATAAGATATGTGCCGTTTAAGACAATGGTGCTGTATGTAGCGATATCAGTTGTCAGCTGATATCTTGTTGAAGGCAACATCTGTAGGATGTTAAATCGTTTTGACAGTTGACGTCTTGACAAAGAAGGTCAACTGAGTGAAGCAGATCTCATACTAAACATGTCAAACGACCTTGACTAAGTAGTTCAGCTGAGTGAAGCGGACCTCACAAGAAACATGTCAAACGACCCGAACACAGAAAGTCGACTGCCTCAAGCGGACCTCACTAAAAATATATGAAACGACTCCGACAAAGAAGGTTACCTGATTGAAACGGACCCCACAATAAACATGTCAAACGACCCTGACAAAACAACAAAAAGACTGGTTATCTATAAGACGGTGGCCCTAGCAGCCTAAAACAGAGTAGCGCTCTGTCGCCACGCGAAAAGGAAGGCAACACACCTGTTAGATCCTTCGCCTCCTCAACTCGCCTCACTCTTCCGTGATCGCCTGCAACTGGACATTACGAGAAAGTTACAACAGAATAAAAAATGCCAACTGCTACAATCTTGTCTCATGGTTTTATTACGTGGGTAGCGAAAGAGCTATTTTCCATGTATTGAGCCACAAGCGTTCGACTGGAAGAAACTGCACACCGAAAACGAACCTGGTCATAAGTTGTTCGCTTGATTCAGAAGAGTAAATTTTGATCTGGAAAATCAGTAACGTTGTGGCAAGCCTGTAATCGTTGTTGATGCCCAAATCAAAATGGCGGATTTAAATTAATCCAGGTCACAGTACACAGTACATCACAAGCATGTCTTTAGAAAGATGTACTGAACTGTTAGGTAATATTAATGCTTTATATGGCCGTGAATATCATCGGGATGCTGGAAAAATATGACCAGAACACGTGAATAATGAGGAAGCAAACAGAAAACAGAAATACGTTCCACATTTTAAAGGTTGATTTAAAAAAACAAGGTAACTGCCATTAAAAATTATTTAACCGTTAAAAAAATGGCTACTATTTTTATTCATTTGGGTTTTAAAATGACATCCTCCAATTGGAGTGTCAAATTTTCATGCACTGTTGTAGACTATTTCTAAATCTATTTCTATATTCTGGATTTTAAAAGCTTCGAGATCTTCCAGGTGGATT